CCATCATGAGCATAATGCGGCACGTTCTACCATTTTTTCCTTCACATGAAACCTGGAACTGACTGCGCTGGTGTACCGGGTCCATTTGAATACATGGAAAACGCTTTGCATGCATTTCTGATAATGAAAAAAGGCTCTGGACAGCATCTGGACATGGAACAGTTAAAAAACGCTTCTAAACGCAAATGCTTATAAATGCAGTTAGCCATGTTTACACGCGTTTGGTGTTTGAAACACTGATAAAATCTACTCCTGAACCCAAGTTTGGTGCGTTAAAAAACACAACTGTAAACTCAACTGCCTGTAAACGACGATGTGTACATGGACACATAGGAAAACATTTGGGAGAGTTCATGGGCTGCTGAAAAAACGCAGAACAGCTCCTGAACGTCAGTTTATCAGCTGCAGTGTACATGAACCCTAAGAGTACTTCTGCATTTCACTGTATTTTATGCATGTTATTTAGCTGTAAAAGTCCCCCTGTGTAAGCATCCAAAAACCCTGAGACTGCTGCTGGACATCTCCATCTTGGATGAGACGTCAGCAACCAGACTCGGAGTTGTCACTCAAGAGACACTCCATAGCAGCCTTTCCCAACCTGGGTTCCATGGAATCCTGAGGTTCCATTTGAGGTTGCTAGGGGTTCCCTGAGAAATGAACAGTAGAAAATGGATTTCTACACTACTCTGACCACCAATGCTAGGGGGATTTTACCACCAAAGTGAGGGGTCAGTTCTACACTGACCATTACTGTCGGGGTTTACCATGGTTTTTACGGTTTCCTTTCTGTAACTTACAGGATGAGTTCACCTTTTTAGTAAAAAATAATAAATGCACATTTTTTTTTTTGCAGGTAAAAAAATGTGCATTTATTATTTTTTATCTGCAGGTGCCTGTAAAGCATTGCATCAGCGATCAGCAGATCGCTGGTGCCGTGCCATGCAGGTCTCCTGCAGATCTGTCAGTATATCTGCTTGCCCGTATGGGATGTACAGGCAAGCAGATATTCTGACAGGAAGAATGAATGAACTACCACAGCGCCAAAGTAGTTAATTGAGAACTACAAGCTGCTATGGCTGTCCGGATTTGTAGGCTCTCATTCACAAATGATGACATACCCTACGTTCTCATCACAGAAGGATCTTAGAGATTTACGGGAAGAGAAGCATAAGCACTGATCTTCCCAGTGAATGACTATGGGGGCGGGTCAGCACAAATCTGACCGCTAGATGAGAGCAGACTGAGTTCTCTGCACAGCCAGAAGACTGACCACGCTGTGCTGTCCTGCCTAGTAGCACATCAGAGGGACTGGCAGGAACACCAGGGATTTCACACAAAGGAAGCAATGCAAAGAGAACTGGATACTCTCTTTCATACAAGTACACGGTACAGCTGGCATATATCAGGAATATGAAATGTTGGGTTGACATATTCATTAAGTTCATTTCAAAAATAGTTCTAATATTTTGTACAGAGCAGGGAGCAATGTTCAAAAAAAAAACATGAGTTGTATGTGTCATCCTCTCTGCTCCTCCCAAGATCTCCTGCGCTCTAGCTCCCTTGTTACCTCCTCCCACATTTGCATCCAAGACTTCTCAAGAGCCTCTCCCATCCTCTGGAACTCCCTACCCCAATAAGTCCAGTCAGCCCCCTACCTTGTCCACCGTTAGACGATCATTAAAAACTCAATTATTCAGGGAAGCTTACCCCACCTCCACCTAAGAACTGTACTTGAGTCACCTCCATCAGATCATCCCCTGCAGCTATTACCTTTTTGTACCACCTCCCCCTCCCTTTTGGATTGTGAGCTCCATGAGTAGGGCCCTCTGATTCCTTCTGTATTGAACTGTAAATGTACAGTCCCCTTTTATATTGTAAACTGTTGGCCATATAGAAATCCTGTGTTATTGTATTCATTTTTAGCAGGGGATTCCCATAACCCAAACTTTAAGGATTCCTCCAGGGTAAAAAGGTTCATAATGACTGCTCTATAGTAACCCCACCCTCCCCATTGCCCTTAACCTGGGATCTAAACAAAAGGTTACTTGGGGGGGGGGGGCAGAGATGCTGGAGCAGCACAGACAGTAGATAGACACTTCTAAAAGAGGATGTGGTAGAAGGAACAGGACTGCTAGGGAATTGACTCTTCATGGAGTAGTCACATTGTGCCAGTGAGGTCAGAGACACATTGCAAGAGAATAAAACATCATTTCTGGAAAGAAACTGCAAGTTCTGCATTTTGCATACTTCTGGTCAAATAAAACTTTAAGGTCTTGTCCACCTTGAGTTTACCATTTCATAAAGTAGCCCCTGACCCATCCAAATACTTAGCTGTGTCCTTAAAACGGATACCGCCCCCCCCGAAATGAACAAAAACAGGTGTCACGGTCCACCTCACACGCACACGCCCACAGCGACTAGCTAACCGAGGTGCGGCCGTGACTTGGGGTAAGAGGGAATAAGGGGGACTTAATCTGAATATATATGTGTAGAAGACCGGCCGTGATATACTTTCACAGCCCGAGCTACCTCTGGCCACCACTAGAGGGAGACTCCAATCCAGCTGGCTGACCACACACACCGGTAGACACAAATCTTACATACAATCTGGTGCACTAATTAGGGTTGAGGAGCAGCCTAGCGATCGACACACCCTTCTAGGATTCCTCCAGCTGTCCTACAAGCAAGAACCCCAGTGTTAATCACTCTTCCGCTGTCCACACACCCCCACACCAGACACACCACAAATGGTAGCTTGCTACCACTCAACAGTTTATCCGCAGAACGGTCTGCTGGGACACCACACACACACAGATCTCCGTCTGGCAGATCTGCTACCTTTACAATCTGCATACAATCTGCCAACACGAAGTGCAATTGCATACAGATTGGAAATGAACTAGACCGAGCGTATAAAGGCCCTAAAATACAATACAATCTAATCTCTCCGGAGATTTGAGTCTGCTTAAGTACCCAGAAGTCACTTATTAATTTTATGATTTAATATCCCGAAAGTGGGCAGAGCATAAAATATGTACAAAGTATAAAAAGTTACAGAAAATACAAAAAATACAAGAAGACACACAATTGACTATTCACTATAAAATAAAAGGGAATAAAAAACAGAAATAAAACTTTTACCAAGATTTATCCTGCGACTGGAACTGGAACAAGTCAGGGAAAGTCCACGATCCGTCAGTCATAAGGACGGGCTCCGTAGGAATCGCCACGTCCATACCTCAAGTCCTCAATTTATGGGAATATGGACGTGGGCTGGACATTAGTCCTTGGCCAATCAAACATGGGGGGTGTTCCTGTACCAGCCCACAGGACGTTCTAGGTGCTGAAATGCCCAAAGTCGATTGGACTAGGAACGGTTTGAATCACCAAGTCAGGGATTGAATTTCCGACACCGGCGCATCATTCCGATTGCGACAGTACCAATCACTGTTCAGCTGTCGCAATCTGGCCCCACATAACCATTTCCTGCATTTTTCTGGCATTCTACATAGGCCACAAATACAGTTTTTACATGCAGATGTAGCCTACAGAGTGTCCAATCAGAAGAAAGGAAGGCTGGTGAACACACTGCAGTTACTGGCTCATCAACATGGAGGCAAGGGTTGACCTCTTACTGGTTTGGGCAGTGAGGGAACAACGCCATAGGAGTATTCTGTGCGCTTTTGTAGTGATCCTGATTGCTAGTGTAATATGGACCGCTTCACTGTGGCTAAGTATCTGAATTGTGTGGGTTAGAGGCTCAAATTTTGTTTTCTTTTTTCTATTTTTTTTTTTGTTCCATTTTATTTTATTTTTGTCTGAACAACCAACCGGAGCCTCTGCTTCATCCAGATGTAGACCTAATAGTAAAGCTGCTGGTATTCTGGGGCACCTGCTGTAGAAGAGAGGGAAGTATTTGGTGTGGGGGACATCTAGGGACCAGTTTTATAGCAGCAGCCTTAAGGTGGACATATGAATTTAGTCTGTGAATGCAAGTTCATTAACATTTCTTTTGTTTCCAAGGGTGGGAAAGCTGTCTGGTGGAGGGAGTCATTAAGGCCGCCGGGCAGGGGGTCTTCATGAGGAGTTTGAGGTGTGAATGGTCATTAACATATCTTTTGTTTCCAAGGGTGGGAGAGGTCTGAGGTGTGAATTGGTCATTACAGTGTGTGACAAGCTTGGTAGGAACATCCTGTGTTCAGTGTTTTGTCCATCTGAGTACCTTGAATACGCTTTGCATGCATTTTTCATGATGAAAATAGGCTCTGGACAGCACTGGGAACTGGAAGAGTTAAAAAAATGTTCAAACGCTTATAAATGCGATTTTTCACATTTAGCCGCGTTTACAAGCGTTTTGCATTTGAAATGCTGATAAAATCTACTCCTGAACGCAAGTTTTCTGTGTTCAAAAAAACGACTGTAAACTCAAATGCCTGTAAATGAAGAGGTGTACATGGACACATAGGAAAACATTAGGGGGAGTTCAGGAGCTGCTGAAAAAAACACTGAACATCTCCTAAACATGAGTTTATCAGCTGCAGTGTACATGAGCTCTAATGGTGCATGAAATTTGCACTGGAAATCACATGACAATGGGGGGGTTGCAGCAGTGTGAACTGAGGCTAAAGGAAACCTGTACTGTAAGAAATATATGTAGGCTGCTTTTGCTGACCTTTTTCAAAAGGCTAGTTTCCCACTTGTCATTCCGATGCTCTGACTTCAGTCATTCCTGAGCCACAGACCTGGAGCAGGATTGTGGATCTGAAATTCTGACTTTACTTGCTGCATGCTTGTTTTGATTCGGTGTTTCAGAAAGTCAGAGCCAACAAGCAGCTCGCCTTTCAGAGGGAGGTCTGCAGTGGCAGCCTGTGTATATTTCCTTACCAAAAACAGGCAAAGAACATCTAGTATTCTGTATGTTATGGTCTATATTGTTTTAGTATATTCTGTCTCTTTTTTTTCAGCTTCTTTATGGATGTATCTTTTCTCTACTCTTTCAGTTTATAGATGCTGACAACTTGTTGATTAATCCCGACACCATTAATCTGCTGATTGCGGAGAACAAGACAGTGGTGGCCCCCATGTTGGAGTCCAGGGCGGCCTACTCCAATTTCTGGTGCGGAATGACCACCCAGGTGAGTAGAATTAATATCGAAATGGATCAAATTTAAAGGAAAACTAAACTTTTATCCACATTTTCTGTAAGCCCCGCTTAGGAGTTCAAAGCTAAGTGTACACTAAAGTGTATGATTCTGTAAGATCTACCTATGTGCATGCTGGGTGATGGATATAGACCAGCAAATGGATCTGCAAAATTCAGGTGCACACCACACACAAGGTACATCCAAGGATGCGCTGTTTATTTGGTGTAAAAGAACCACCAACTTAAGTCCTCATGCACACTGGACATTTTTACAGCGGCTGTTTTTGGCTTTTGATGGTTTTTTTCTACAGCCAGTAAACCCCCCAGCATGTTATCCTATGTGTCCATGCACACATAGACTGGAATCAACGTTTTTTGGCTGGAAAAAAAACCCAGGACTAGTGGATTTCTAGAGGAGTTTTTTTTAGCTGTAAAATACGCTCTAACGCTGAAAAACACGGTAAAACTCCGCAAACTGGCGTTTTTGGATTTTTTTTTACCCCCCCAAAAATTTTTCTTCTTTTTTTTTTGAAGAGTATGCAGCACTTATTTCCGCACTTGTGTGCAAAGGCACATTGTAAATAATGGGGCTATATTTTACTTCAGTAAAAGAAACCCGCTGTAATGAGCTTTTTCAAGCTGCGGTGTGCAAGAGGCCATACATATACCCAGTGAAGTGAATGGCTTCCGGTGGTACATGGAGATGAAACCAATCCTCCTTCATTAGTTGTATCTGTCTATCTGCAGTCTTCTCTTCTCTACATCTATCTGAATTTTTGTAAATGATAAAAGGTTGTGGAGCTGTCAAAAAAAAAAAAAAAGAAGCGGAGAGCTGAAGTTACGCTCTGCAGAGCTTAGTGAGGAGAGTTCTGAGAGCTGATTGGAGGGAGAGCTGATTGGCTCTCATATTTTTGCTGCTCCAATGTTAATCATATTTTTTCTAATGCTGCCCTATGTTTACACTTAGGGATATTATAGACGTACCCCAGCCTACATGCCAATCCGACGGAGAGAACGCCGTGGTTGCTTTGGCGTCCCCATGGTTCACTCCACCTTCCTTATTGACCTGCGGAAGGAGGCCAGCCAATACCTGGACTTCTATCCACCACACCCAGACTATACATGGGCATATGATGACATCATAGTGTTTGCCTTCTCCTGTCGGCAAGCTGGTAAGTCAGGTGACACTGGATGTGTAGAGTAGCAGATTGGTGGTTTGAGGGCAACTACCAGAAAAATTGCTATTTTAGTTTTGTATGGCTGTTGGCAAGTCATGCAGCATGCTGGCTTATTTTATCAGAATCTGAGTAGTACAGATGAAATGATTGCTAACCAGTCAGGGCTGGATCTGGCCTGTATGATGTGGGGGTGCAGTAAAAAATGTCAGGGGGCACTGTACAGAGAGTCAGCAGGGCAGAGGATAGGATTGGCAGTGTACAGAAGCTAATAAATAAAGTGCAGCGCTAAAAATAAGCAGAAAATTCGATCTAGAAAATTCTGATCTAGAAAATTCGATCTAAGAGGTTCGTTCTGAAATTGGTTATCAAAAGTTCATTTAATCAACGATATAGTAGATTGGACACAGCTTATGAGAAATCCGGAACAAATGGCAGAAATGCGCACTCACCGACCGCGCATAGGAAATGCGCATGTGTATATTAAATTCCACAGAGTATCGATCTCCCTCAGGAAGGGGTGTTCTCAAGCATTGGTCAGCTGGGCTCACAGAACCTCCTAAGGATCGGAATGGATCGACCGGAAAAAGACTCCAGGTGAAGGCTTCCCTCCTCTGGATGAAGTTGGAAGCGGTGTCTGCTGACCCCTCAATAAGGGGCAAAGAATGGGAGAGTACCCATAGTGTAGTATGTCAAAAAAGAACTTCATTGGTAACAGACAGTGCAGGGTATATCAGTAATAATGCTAGGCAGATGACCAAACATATGGGGTAAGGTGAAATAAAAAGCAAAACCACTGACCCTGAATGAAGTGGCCGCCAGACCTCCTCGTGGTCTGGGCGGCAATAAGGCGTCACAGGCTGTCAGTTCCTCCTGAGGCCTTTCGTGCTAAGGCACATCATCAGAGGGGATACTGACAGCCCCTCTGATGATGTGCCTTAGCATGAAAGGCCTCAGGAGGAACTGACAGCCTGTGACGCCAGTGGTTTTGCTTTTTATTTCACCTTACCCCATATGTTTGGTCATCTGCCTAGCATTATTACTGATATACCCTGCACTGTCTGTTACCAATAAAGTTCTTTTTTGACATACTACACTATGGGTACTCTCCCATTCTTTGCCCCTTATTGAGGGGTCAGCAGACACCGCTTCCAACTTCATCCAGAGGAGGGAAGCCTTCACCTGGAGTCTTTTTCCGGCCGATCCATTCCGATCCTTAGGAGGTTCTGTGAGCCCAGCTGACCAACGCTTGAGAACACCCCTTCCTGAGGGAGATCGATACTCTGTGGAATTTAATATACACATGCGCATTTCCTATGCGCGGTCGGTGAGTGCGCATTTCTGCCATTTGTTCCGGATTTCTCATAAGCTGTGTCCAATCTACTATATCGTTGATTAAATGAACTTTTGATAACCAATTTCAGAACGAACCTCTTAGATCGAATTTTCTAGATCGAATTTTCTGCTTATTTTTAGCGCTGCACTTTATTTATTTACTTTTACTTGAGGCTGTTGTGATCTCCTTTCAGTGCTTGTAGCTGCTTAAGTTTACCGTTACACAAGAAGCGCTCACTATATCTTTTACATTAGTGTACAGAAGCTATTGGTTTTTAGGTTAGTGTACGGGGTCAGCAGGAGAGAGGACAGGGGGAAGCCAGGCAACATATAGGGAGTCAGCAGGTCATAGGATGGAAGGTCAGCAAGGGATGAGCCGAGGACAAGGGTAAGCAAGGTGGGCAACAAGGGGTCAGTGCTGGCAGGGCAGGGGACAGGGGTCACCACTGGAGAGACAGATGACGGGGATCACCACTGGCAGGACAGAGGATGGGGATCACCGCTCTCAGGGAAGAGGACGGGGGTCACCGCCTGCAGGGAAGAGGACGGGGGTCACCGCCTGCAGGGAAGAGGACGGGGGTCACCGCTCTCGGGGAAGAGGACGCGGGGGTCACCGCTCTCGGGGAAGAGGACGCGGGGGTCACCGCTCTCGGGGAAGAGGACGCGGGGGTCACCGCTCTCGGGGAAGAGGACGCGGGGGTCACCGCTCTCGGGGAAGAGGACGCGGGGGTCACCGCCCTCGGGGAAGAGGACGGGGGGGTCACCGCATGCAGGGAAGAGGACGGGGGTCACCGCTCGCAAAGAAGAGGACGGGGATCGCGGCTGGAGAGTCAGAGGACAGGACCGCGGCTGGTCTAGACTCCTGGGATGTATGAGATCATTTGACTAGGCATGGAAACCCGGAAGTGACTGAGGAAATGTAGAAAAAAAAAAAAATAAGTTTAAAAAGTAAATATGACATACCTTACTATCTATTTAATAATGCTAGCAGCATAAGGATTCAAAATCGTCAATGTTGATTGAAGTTCCACTTTAAAGATTTTGACCTGCCCCCTTCACCAAGCTAACTGACTGACTGGAATCTGTCCACTGTTAACTTTCCTGTTAAAGCCGGGAGTTCAGATAAGCAGCACTAAGGGAGCAGGAGCCAGCAGCTATGAGACTTGTAAACTGCAAGTGCTGGGGTGAGAGTTTTTAAAAAAAAAATAGTTTACAGGAGAATGTTTATTTTATTGTGCTCAATGTGTTAAACTAAAAAATGCTGAAGGTTTAATACTACTTTATAGCTTTGTACAAGCTTTTAGCAAGCTGCAATGAATGCTTAATATATATTAATGGAAGTTTTAACTATAGTTTTCTATAATGCATTTACAAGTTCAGAGCTGCATGCCCACCCATGAGGTTTATTTGTATTTGCCTCCTCAACAAAATCAGGCATTACTGATATCTTGGGGTGGATTTATTGTAAATCAGTAGGTCATGTTTATCACCTTTGCGGATCTTCTGTGGACTAGTGTCAGATTGCTTGCTGCATTTAAGATGCTTTCTGTGTCTCTCCCAGATGTTCAGATGTTCATCTGCAATAAAGAGGTTTATGGGAACCTCCCTGTACCTCTGCGATCACACAGCACTCTGATCGATGAAGCAGACAACTTTCTGCACACCAAACTGGAGGTTTCAGGTGAGTTCCCATCCAGGTCCTAAGAAAAGGAACACCTTCGTGTCTACACATTGATCCATTGTGATAAAGCTGATGGCAGTGGTGTGTGAAATATTTCTGTAAATGGAAGTCTTCTAATGAAGGTTATAATGGGTATTGCTGAGCATGGTGACTGTCATTGTCTTTCTGTCAGTGTACTCCAGACTGCAGCCCTTTGCTTGCCTCTGTCTGGCCCTTGGGATACCATTTCTTCAACTGGCACCAATGATGAGGCACCATTTCTCCCACTGACACCATTAAAGTGCACAATTCTTCCTGTTAGGACCAATGATGGGACACTATTGCTCCACTTGACACCAATGATGAGGCACCATTCTTCCCATTGACACAATGGGGCACAATTCTTCCTTTTAGGACCAATGATGGGACACTATTGCTCCAGCTGACACCAAGGATGAGGCACCATTCCTCCCACTGACACCATTAATAGGGCACCATTCTTCCTGCTAGGACCAATGATGGGACACTATTGCTCCAGCTGACACCACTGATGAGGCACCATTCCTCCCACTGACACCATTAATAGGGCACCATTCTTCCTGCTAGGACCAATTATGGGACACTATTGCTCCACCTGACTCCGTCGATGGGGCACAATTCCCCCCATTGGTACCAACCATGGGGCACTATTCCTCCTGTTAAAACCAGTGATAGGGCAGTGTTTACTTTCATTGATTCCAGGACATGTTCTACTTACACAGGCCACAGACCAACCCCCATAAAGCCTGAAGGACAGTAAACTGGCCCTTTGCTGAAACATTTTGGAGACCCCTGGACTATGTAAAGCATCATGAGAATGGAAGTGCAGGTACTGCACACGTGTCCTCAGCTGGCCTCTATGGCCACTAGTAACTAGGTGCTAGGCCAGCAATGGGCAAACTACGGCCCACGGGCCATATACGGCCCGGCGGACCTTTTAATCCGGCCCGCGGAGCGTGATACATTGGCTGTCAGGATGTGTGTAGGCGGGGCAGCGTGACGAACGTGAGGGGAGCTAGGCTCCTCTCACAGTCCGCCCTGAAGACCGGAACGGCGCGGGAACACGGCAAGAGGAACGCGCGGAGCAAAGGTAAGTGAATTGACACAGGGGGGACTTGGCTTACTACTTGGGGGGGAATAGTACTATGGGGGATGAATTACTATATGGGGGATGAAATAATATGGGGAATGAATTACTATAGGGGGGATGAATTACTATATGGGGGATGAATTACTATATGGGGAATGAATTACTATAGGGGGGATGAATTACTATATGGGGGATGAATTACTATATGGGGGATGAATTACTATGGGGGATGAATTACTATATGGGGGATGAATTACTATGGGGGATGAATTACTATATGGGGGATGAATTACTATATGGGGGATGAATTACTATATGGGGGATGAATTACTATATGGGGGATGAATTACTATGGGGGATGAATTACTATATGGGGGATGAATTACTATGGGGGATGAATTACTATGGGGGATGAATTACTATGGGGGATGAATTACTATGGGGGATGAATTACTATATGGGGGATGAATTACTATATGGGGGATGAATTACTGGGGGGGATGAATTACTATATGGGGGATGAATTACTATGGGGGATGAATTACTATATGGAGGATTAATTACTATGCTTACTATGGGGGAATATTACTATACTTACTATGGATGACACATACACATCATTCATCTACTCTTGGTCCGGCCCCCGGGTCCAATATATGAACCCATTGCGGCCCTCAAGTCAAAAAGTTTGCCCACCCCTGTGCTAGGCCCTTCCACCTCCTACACCAAATGGTTCATTAGTGAGCCCTCCTATTGCATTGAAGAGCCACTCATGAGGCATGGAGGGAACAGAGCCAAGATCTAATTTTTTTAGAGTTGTTTATATTTTAACGAGCCTGTGGATTTTGGGTTTCTGGGGTGCTCTGGAAGACAATTGAGGATATACAGGCAGGCCTCAGTGTCTGCATTCACAATCGCATGGCAGTTTACAAGGCTAGGATTTAACATTGGGCACAGGGTCTATAGATGTTTTCTTTGCAGGCTTTTAGGCTGACCATACAGGGCTCAGATTTCAGTAGTCTTCTGCTGACTTGGCTGGAATTTGAACCATGGGTGACCCAGTAAGCAGCACCTGGCTCTGTTTAGAAAATCAACTGAGCTGGATGGAAAATTAGCAGCCAAAAAGAGATGCATCCCCAGTTTGGTCATTTAGGCAGCCATGGGTGCCAGCTGCCTGAATACAGAAGGCAATAGAAGAGATTCCCTTTTATTCACACTCTTTAGCATGGATGAGGGAATCAATTAACCTTTTCCTGTTCAGCTCATAGGCTAAATAATAATCTGCTACCCCTGTTAGTCTAACCTTGCATGTTTTGTTCCCGATGTTGAACTGCAGGACAGCCATTGTTCGGACGATACATTTCCACCTAGGTGAGGTTGATTTATATGTCAACATTTGTTGAGCTTACAGACCACCCATGGCTTGAATTTGGGGCGATATTTGGTAAAATTCAAGTGTATGGTCATATTTAGTGCAAAGCGGGGTGGGGGGGGGTGTTGTGTCTGATATTATCAGTACCCACCTCTGCAAGTTATTTCAGCAAAGGTGATAAGCATACAGCAGAACACACGGCGAATATTGCAGGGGATACATGACATTTTACCTCCAGCCCTGTGCAAACTTCTGAGAAAAGCCTTGGTCTATTACATGAGAGAATTCTGGGAAGACGTGCTTCAAGAAGACTGTTGGAAGATTTGCTAGAAAATCATTTTTTTTTTCCAACCTAAGAAAATCCGTAGATCATCAATTGGCTCTTATAACAGCTAAATGAAAGGAAAGTGGTTTTCCTTTCACAGATCATTGTCAGTACCTGGCATTAGTTCCTGGCAGCTTTGTCACATCTAGTTTCAGAACTACCCAGACAGACCCAGGAGGATCCTGCGCCAACTAGCCGCTCCTATTACGGACATTTGAGGAGTCCAGTTTGATATCTTTGTGAACATCCCACTAAGAGGGGAAGGAAGGTGACGGCTGCTATGAGAAGTACGTCTGTTTTCTTTCCCACAGTGGAGTGTGTTCATAAAGGAGAGATCCAGTTTGAAAAGAGAATAGAAATCAAAAATAAGTGTTGCGCTCCACTAACAATAGTAATACAAAATGTCAAATATGTGATTAGAATAAATATATATATAAATAATAATCCAACATCAAATTAGAAGTGACAATGCAATCATGCTGCTGCTGCATACATGTCCTTAATTATTCTGTGATTCTGACATTTCTTCTAATGATGTAATACGATATCTATATTGTGCAGTCCACCAAAGAATGTGTTCACCTTCACCGGCTGTGCTCTCACCTGGCATGTATGACCAAACCGTTACGTGAGATCATAAAAGGCTTGTGTCCCTTTAATTGGATTTAGAGGTGAGCAGATGGGATTATCCCTATTCCCTGGATGGATGGATGGAGTTCTCCCTTTTCCCAGTAGGGGGTCTCGCCGCTTCCTAGGGACCTTGTCTTGGAGGTGGATGGATGGATGGAGTTATCCCTCTTCCCACTAGGGGGTCTCCTTGCTTGCTTAGATTTTTTTTCTCCATGTATATATGTGCCATGTAATGTAAAAAAATGTATATAGTGCCTTATGTTCTTTATAAAAGATTTATTAAACAAAATTACTGCACTCACATAAAACAGGTTAAAATCACTTTAGTGTATAAAATACAGGATCCTCAATGTGTTTTCCAAACTTAAATATACTTACAGGGGGAAATGATTAAAAAGAGACCCATAATCTTAAATGTGTGCAATGATCAGTTTGACCTTTTTTTTTTTTTTTTTTTTTTGTTAACCTTGTTTCTATGTATGGTGTATACATGTTTAACCACTTCCCGTCCGGCCCATGTATATAAACGTCTGGACGGGAGCAGTGCAGGGGTGGGTGGCCATTTCTAAACATCCTCCCCGCTCCCTGCTTGTGCGTTCTCCCTGGGAGCGTGCAGCACCGCGATCCGGTGCCCGCTGTGACCGGAGGACACAGCGGAACACCGATTATGTGATCGTTGATTGGCCAATCAGTGATCACATGAAGAGTAGTAAGCAAGATGTCACTTCTGACATCCATTACTACTAGTTAAATCTGTGAATGATCACAGAGGTTACACGGTACAAGGCTATTCACAACAGCCTTGTACCATGTGACAAGCTGTGACCAATCACAGCTCACACAGTATTTCTCAATGGCTGCAAGAATGCAGCCAAAGAGAAGGAGAATGTATTGGTTTTACAGCCTTTATGGGTGTAAAAGCAATCAGTGTAAAAAAAAAAAAATCTTCATCACCCCCCCCCAAGTAGTAAGTAGTATCACTATAGTGGCACTTTACTACTAGGGTGACAGTGTGTAAAAAAACAAAAAAACATAAATAATAATATAAAAAATAAAATAAAAATGTTAAAAGAAATAGAAAAATTATAGCTTTTGGTTATAAACTAGTTTGGGTTTTCTTTTTAACTAAAAAGATAATTGAATACATTTTGGCCAAGATATATGAAGAAAGATTATTTATTTGCAAAATTTTATAAGAAAAAAACTTATTTTCAGAATTTTTGGACTTTTTCATTTATATAGCAAAAAAAAAATTAAAATCCCAGGGGTGAATAAATACCACCAAAATAAAGTTTTATCTGTCTCAAACAAATGCTAAAAAACTCATATGGGTACAGTGTTGCATGACCGCGCAATTGTCATTCAAAGTGTGATAGCACTGAAAGCTGAAAATTGGCCTGGACAGGAAGGGGGGTGAAAGTGTCCGGACTTGAAGTGGTTAAGGGGACAGTCCTATTTGCCCATTACATACAGGGGACAGTCCTATTTGCCCATTACATACAGGGGACAGTCCTATTTGCCCGTTACATACAGGGGACAGTCCTATTTGCCCGTTACATACAGGGGACAGTCCTATTTGCCCGTTACATACAGGGGACAGTCCTATTTGCCCGTTACATACAGGGGACAGTCCTATTTGCCCGTTACATACAGGGGACAGTCCTATTTGCCCGTTACATACAGGGGACAGTCCTATTTGCCCATTATATACAGGGGACAGCCCTATTTGCCCGTTACATACAGGGGACAGTCCTATTTGCCCGTTACATACAGGGGACAGTCCTATTTGCCCATTACACACAGGGGACAGTCCTATTTGCCCATTATATACAGGGGACAGTCCTATTTGCCCGTTACATACAGGGGACAGTCCTATTTGCCCGTTACATACAGTCTCTGCTCCCTGCTTGGCTGTACTACACAATGGTTATCCTTTACAGTTCCTTCTCACAATGTGTGGGTTAGTCTGAGAGTTCACTGAAAAAGCACGTTCTCTGTGTGGCTGATATACAATGTGATATTATTAGTTAAAGTGGAACTACAGGTGAGTATAAAAAACAACAAAAAGAAAAACAGGACTGTTGAGTTGCATTTATCTGCATAGATCAATGAAGACGCCATTCAAGGACACATAGAAAATAATGTTTTTCTGCGTGCTCTGTTTATACGATACATGTGCGCTGTATAAAAATGCACATTGTCTTTTCATACAATGCAGCATGTCTGCGTTTTTAGGCCTTGTTCACATGAGCATACTAGAGCGCACTTACGTGCTAGGACCGTGTTTGCCCGCAAAGGAATGCACAGATATTCCATGGTTCACTGTACAGCTGCAGGTGCCCGGCCTGAATGCACACTATCTGCGATCAGGGCCATGTACCCATGCTGCTTTCAGATTGGGAGCACCGGCTCTATCCATGCAGTGCTGCCTCCTGATTGACATGAATGGGACTGCCTGCACGAAGATGCATGGAACACTTGCGCCTCCTTTTGCAGGTGAACACGGCCCTCTCATGGGTGTACGCCTTAGTATGCCTATGTGGACGAGGCGTAATGCAGTGCAGCACACTGCATGTAAAATACCAATAGGAGCACTCAAACCTGATGTTCTTGGTTGTGTATTTGTTCCCAGCAAGTGACATAACCCCATGAAGTTGGTTTTTGCTTCATTGATATAAAACTAGGAGTAAAGTGTTACTAAACCCACAACAGTACAATCAGTCTGTATATGCAGTAAAGCATGCTCGTTATACTCACTGTGGAACCTAAGGGGTTATTCCTCTGCATTGTGTAAGAAGGATGTTTGATCCTGTCTTCTCTGATCCTCCCCTTATCACTTGATAAGACATATCAGGTGGTGACACTCTGCACATGCTCAGTTTGGTGTGTATTGCAGAGGGTTTTTTTTTTTAATCTTGGGAGAGTGCATGTGATCAGCACAGGTCCAATCAGCACTGTCCAGACAGATGTCTGGGGTTCTGCATCCTCCTAGAGCAGAAAGAAAACTCCTACAAGCTTTAACCAGTGCTCTGCTGGTCACTGATAGAAGTCACAAGACTGCTCTAACTGCTGATGAATAAGGTATTTAGCAGTTTATATTTACTAAAATAATTGCATTTCCATGTTTTGTGTACTGTAGGAGACCAGATATAGTGAATGCAGGGTCCTGGGTTTAGTAACGCTATCTTTATTGCTACCAAATAGGGGCTGCAGAGCCCCCCAAGTGACAGTAGTGTTGGCGTGACAGGTACGCCTTATTACACATCAGAGGTGTATTAGACCCCCAATGCCTCCTCTGCACTGAGGCCAAGCATATCGGGGATAGATGAGTATTCCCCAAAGCACTCCTACTCGACCATAGTGGATGGGAACCCAAAAACACTGAAAGCTTCTTTCACAGTCCCCAATCCATCAGCTTTGGGGGCAAGCTGCACATGCTCAGTTTAGTGTGTATTGCTATAGAGGTTTTTTTTTTTCTAGGGAGAGTGCATGTGATCAGCACAGGGCCAGGGGTCCTGCAGCCTCATAGGACAGTCGGGAGAATGAAAACTCCTACAAGCTTTAACCAGTGCTCTGCTGAACACTGATAGATGTCACAAGACTGCTCTAACTGCTGATGAGAAAATGTATTTAGCAGTTTATATTTACTAAAATACTTGCATTTCCATGTTCTGTGTGCTGTGGGAGACCAGATCTAGTGAATGCAGGGTCCTGGGTTTCGTAAGACACAAGTTGGTGTGGTGCATGGTATGTACATTGTTTTTTTTTTTTTTTCATTGGAAACTGGCTTGCATCATCTAGAAGTCACATGTATATAGGGGGGGTTTACTGTTGGATGGAATTGCATTATGAGCTATGATATGTAGCTGTCTGGGCAGAGGGCTTTGGATCAGAATTAATATTTTGCTACTTTTCTTCTAAACTGCTACCACATGCACAGGGCAAACATGGGCGATCCAACTTCATGGCCCATTTGTATTGGATTTTGCTGTTTTTAACGTAGTTCATGTGAATCATGTCCAGGTTATTATCAATGCTATGATATCCTAATAGGACAGTTGTATGTAATAGCTGGTCCATCTAGTCACTGTGTTCTCCTCTGTTTGCAGTGAAGGGATCCCCCACTGAGCCATCGGCTTTCCTGTCTCTCCCCCCAAAAGTAGCGGATAAGATGACAATGGACGAGGTAAGCTTTGACTCATTGGCTGCTTCCGGTATCAGGATTGATGCAGGACAAAGCAGGAGAGTGGCTCGGTGCTGCAGCTACTAAACATACATACAAGGTGTCAAGAGCATGATCCATTACTTAAATTTAAAGCCTAACTGAATTAAAATCTACCTCTCTTACCCCCCTATTATTGACTGTAGAAAACAAAAACAACAACTTTCTAAATGCCCCTTTCCCCTACGAAAAGTCGCATTCACATGATCCTCCAGACCTGAGTCCTCCTTGTGTACTTTTGCTGGTTATTGGACCCATAACAAACTACCGTATTTTACGCTCCATAAGACGCACCTAGATTTGTAGAGGAGGAAAACAAGAAAAAAAAAATTCTGAACCAATGGACTGCGGACATAGTACAGGAGATGACCAGAGACTGCGGACATACTACAGGAGATGACCAGAGACTGCAGACACAGTACAGGAGATGACCAGAGACTGCGGACATAGTACAGGAGATGACCAGAGACTGCGGACACAGTACAGGAGATGACCAGAGACTGCGGACACAGTACAGGAGATGACCAGAGACTGCGGACACAGTACAAGAGATGACCAGAGACTGCGGACACAGTACAGGAGATGACCAGAGACTGCGGACACAGTACAGGAGATGACCAGAGACTGCGGACACGGTACAAGAGATGACCAGAGACTGCGGACACGGTACAGGAGATGACCAGAGACTGCGGACACGGTACAGGAGATGACCAGAGACTGCGGACACGGTACAGGAGATGACCAGGAACTGCGGACTGCGGCTCATCAATCTGCTGCTGAGTCAGGCACAATCCAAGCTGTACGGCCTAACTGTTGCAGAGCAAAATCAGTTCATTGACTTGGCTATCTGGCAGAGCTGTGTAAATCTCAGGACTGGATAGATAGTAATATGAATCCTTTGGCATGTAAAATCTCTCCCCTGTATGTATTCTGGGGGAATACATGAGTGCTTTGTTGTTGTTAGAGTTTGGATTTAAAGCAGAGCAAGTACACACAACAAATTATTCTGAGCACCTCAACTAGTTTATTGGCTAATTTGCAGCTTCCGAGCCTTTAATAGAGAGTTGTATATATCTCCAGACTAGGCCTGTTTTTAAGAAGGGAGTTCTCATTTATTTGATCCTTCACTTTTCTCTTCTCAGATTTTTCTCATTAATTTGAAGCGTCGTCCGGATAGGAGAGAGCGTATGAAGAGGGTGCTCTACGAGCTGCAGATTGACTACAAGCTATCAGATGCTGTGGATGGCAAGTGAGTTGTTGGATATGAAATGAATATGAAGTGTTTGGGGGGATTATTGAGCTAAAGTGACTGTACTCGCAGCATCCATCTCTCTCCCTGCTTGGTACAGAAGTCATTTATAGCATCATGTATGTCTGCCTTTGACTCAGTCAGTCTACAGTGTAAATTGCATGAGTACTGACCCCCTGTCTTTTCCAAAAGGATACCTGTGTGTAAAATAGTTCCAGCCCATTTGACTGCCAAAGATATGTCCACCATGGCAGTCAAGGGATTAAACAAACTTTTATTTTAAAATGACTGTGCTGGTTCTGCTGTATAATGAAAATGACTTGGGTGGCTGTAAAGTACAATAGCCCCCAACATCTTCTTTCAGTATTTTTGGGTTCCCATCCACTATGGCCGAGTAGGAGTGTTTTGGGGAATGTTCATCTATCCCGGATATGCTTGGCCTCAGTAAAGAGGAGGCATTGGGGGTCTAATACACCTCTGATGCTTTAATAAGGAGTTCCTGTCATGCCAACACTACTGTCACTTAGGGGGCTCTGCAGCCCCCTTTTGGTAGCAATAAAGTTAAAGTGTTACTAAACCCAGGACCCTGCATTCACTATATCTGGTCTCCCACAGTACACAGAACATGGAAATGCAAATATTTTAGTAAATATAAACGGCTAAATACCTTATCCCATCAGCAGTTAGAGCCGTCTTGTGACTTCTATCAGTGTCCAGCAGAGCACTGGTTAAAGCATGTAGGAGGAGTTTTCTTTCTGCTCTAGGAGGATGCAGAACCCCTGACCTCTGTCTGGACAGTGCTGACTGGCCTCTGCTGATCACATGCACTCTCCCAAGATAAAAAAAAAACAACCTCTCTAGCAATACACACCAAGCTGAGCATGTGCAGAGTGTCTCCACACTCTGATCCTCAACACGAGGATCAGAGAGGCCAGGATCAAACCGCATTTTTACACAATGCAGAGAATTAACCCCTTAGGTTTCACAGTGAATATATCAAGCATGCTTTACTGCATATACAGACTGATTTTACTGTTGTGAGTTTAATAACATTTTAACTGAAATAAATGCAAAGAAAAAGCATTTTAAAAACAAACTTTTTCCGCAGGTGGGGGGTGATGATGATGATGGATGATGATGATTTTATGCAGCATTTACAACATAAGGGCAGACAGTACAACTTAATACAGTAGAAATCAGAGGGCCCTGTTTGTTAGGGGGTGTGAGAATCTGCTGTGAGAGGAGATTTCGGGAGGCTGTTGAAGGTACGTGTACTTCTAAGGACGTGCACTTCATGCTTACAACAGTTTTCCCCCTTCCCTACCAGTGACTGTATTTAGGTGAATCTATCACAGCACAGCGATTTTTTTTTTTTTTTTTTTTTTTTTTCTCCCTTACAAGATGCAAGTTCCCAGACAGTTTTGCTAATCCTGTGACTCAAAGGATTTGGATAACAGCCCAGAAACTTGTGGTTTGCAAACAAAGTCACCAGTGGTAGTGCCTATAAATCTATTGTGACAGGTTCCCTTTATAAAAATAAATAGTGGTGGGATCAGAGCTCCTGTGTTAGTGCTTCGGCCCATCCCAAGGTCTGTGCTGGGTTTGCTGATGTCCCTTTTTCAGTCCTCGTATCACCTATTTTAGCGAGTGAGGAAGAAGTGTCCGAGGATCTGGGAGCTCAGTAGTGTGCGCCATCTTTCATCGCTATCTCAATCCACAGTTGCGTCACGTAACCAGTTGTCAGGACCAGAAGTGACTTTCTCAAGGCTTCTGGAATGTGACAAAGATGGCAGCACAGTAGACTTTTCCCTGGCTCATAGTTCCTTAAACACTACAGGTCAGCCAGGGTGAGTATAATATGTGGCTTTCCAGCTACAATTGGTATTCAGGGTATAGCAGTCCTCAGAAATGGAGGAAATGAATGGCACATTTTATCTATGCGTTATTAATAGTTGTGTAGGATTCTGCATGGTATCTTCAGGACACGGAGATTCTGGTTCACAGATGTAACAATAGGAAATCTGTACAGACCATTGAATTCTGTGTCCTTGCAGCTGGAACTGATCTTCTCTCAGAATTCGGGGAAGGACAGAAAAGCTTAACTGTACCTGCCTATACTTGGAGCTGCTTCTTTCCATTGCCTGAATTTTTCGGAATATTATTTTGAATGTTTCGGGCTGATCCTCTGTTTTGCCTGCTCTGCTTTTGAGCTCAACAAAGAGTTTGGCTTCCTTTGTGCTGCAAATCATGTCTGGAATATTTCATGACCTAACCTGTGTCTGTTATAATGATACTTAGGTCAAAATGTTGTTTTTTTTTTTTTCTTGTCCATTGAGGCTGGGTTCACATATATGCGGTGCAGTATATCGCACGTGATTCGCACAGGAACCGCACCGCATTCCTGTGCAAATCACATGCGATTTGTGTGTCGTATGATTGGAGCCATACATTTTGTATGGCTCAAGTCGCACCGCACTCGCACTAAAAAGTTGCAGGACCTTTTTTTTTTTTTTTTTTACCCCGCACTAGAATCAGATCGCATGGGTATTCACACCTATAGGATCCGATTCTGCACATCGCACCGCATTTTGCGGACCGATTTCGGAGTGTTGTTAACTTAACATACACACCCGCAGTGGTTTGCATGAATGTGGTGCGATTCTGATGCGGTGAAGAACTCGTACAGAAAACACTGCAAATTCCGGACCGCATCAGTGTGAACCCGGGCTGAAGGACACATGAAATCTCACTTTCACGTTATACTTCCGCCTACAGGAGGATTGCACACTGGCAAACATACCTGTAGGCCAGTCCAGGATAATTCCAGCCAGTCTTTTCTACTACCAGTATGTCTGTTTTTTTGCTAGCAAGAAGGTGGCCATCTTTTCTTCAGCTCTGCAGTGCAAAAGACTAACCTATTTTTTGCTAGCTTTTATTAATCGCAACTTTTTTTTTAATGTAGAATATTCTTTACACTGCTGCTAGCGCTTGTCTCTCAATTGCAGCTCTGCAACGCAACTGTCCTCATCCTGGCTTTTGGAGCCCCACATCTGGACCTGCTGGTTTGGTGTTGCAGGTATAGCCTGGGTTCCATGTACAGTGCTTTTCAGATTACATTTTGGTAAACAGTTAGCTGCAGAACAATTTCTGGGTCCAGAGCTGGTGGCATTGCCTCAGTGCTTGCAACGTCTCTGAAGACTCACTGTGCCAAGCACTGAGTGTATTCAATTATATGGGTTGCTGGACACCAAGGGGTACTGGGAGGAACAATACCATTGTACCGGGTGCCCTAAGCTCACACTCTACTAACCGCTTCAGTGTTGCTTGCAGCATGCCTACTGATGTGGGCAACTTCCACAGCCTTAAATCCTGGTCTCCTGTCATAGGGAACTTCCTTAGCTGCTTTTCGGTATGGCTGGTTCTCCTGCCCTCTTGGGTAAGGTTTTTACTACAATCATGCAATCCTTTATCCCAAATGACCTAGTTATTTGCTGACCACAGGCATGCTCCCACGCCTTATCCCATAGATTTTATATCGATTCTACCTACAGCCTCTGAACCATCAGCCGCTGAGACTGTCTGATTCTGAGCTGCACCAATGTTTGCCTGATAAGCTTGCCACTGAGGAGTCAGACTTCTGCCATTGTTTGCAAATTTAGAGACTGTTCTACTTTCACTGAAATTCATCTCTCTGAATTGTGAGGCTCATCCTGTTGCTTCTACCAGGAGTATTTCCAGTCTTGGGTTCTTTAGAGCCATAGGGCTATTTTTTGGGGGGGGTTTTGCTATTCTTGCTGGCAAGCCCCGCTCTTCACCCCATTTTGGCTGTGATCTTGACTTGCCAAACCTTGGCTGACTAGTTAAAATCCCTTATTAGAGATCTTGAGACTGTTGTGGTTGGTCCTTTGGTTATAGAACGTTTGGATCAATTGGTTGTGTCTTTACAGTTGTGGACTTAGATTTCCTGTCTGGAGAGGACATTTGTTAAAGGACTGTATTACAGAACCTGCTTCTAAGAAGTGCTTGATCCACACTGCTTTCATGGAACAATGCCTCTTCGGATCTGCTTTGGGCAAGAATACCCATCTTCCTCAGTGGACAAAGCCTAAGGAACAGACGGCAAAGTCTCTCCCTCACAATACATTAAGAAATGCCCCTTTCATTTCTTCACACCTGTGCCATCAGTGTTTAGACCTATTAGGCTTGGCTCCCAGTCCTCCAACATGGTTTGGGGCTCAAAGTCTGCCAAATCTTCAGACAAATCTGTTTGAAGGTACATCCTCACTTTCCAGACTGGGGTTGGGGTGTTTGTGTGGACACTTGAACACCTCCATCCTTCTTTTACACGGGTTAGAAGGTCTTCAAGTAGCTCTCTTGGGTCTTCTGCACCAAGTTCCTGAGGTAGAATGTATGCAAGGGGTTTTACTCCAATTTGTTCATGATTCCCAAACCCCACAGTGAGGTTATACCAGCTTACATTAGGGGCAGTCGTAGGAAGTTTCTTTGTCAGTGTCCAGTCATCTGACGGTAGCCTACATATAACCCATGGTCTATGAATACAAGCTCTGTGTCCTTTATTTTACTCCAATATATGGAATGTACATGCAAGTCAAAATTCCATTGGGGAAAACAGGTTCCACCCATTTGTGTTTTATAATCATGCTCTTGGTACTGCTTTGCTGTAAAACTGAGGCATGCTGGTATTAGGAGGGGTTATCCTGGGCTGGCTTACAGGGTTTTTTTTTTTGTCTAATCATCTTGCAGTATAACCTGAAGGTGAAAGATGTCCTGTGGCCCTTAGTGAACTCCAAGAAAACGATTTTACAATGAGTAAAAAAAACATATTTTCCTTGTTTTTGATAGTGGCAGAAGGACTAGTACCTGTCACTGAAATAGAAGTTGAGGGGGAACATCTAATCTCCACCACTGTTCTGGTGACATCTGTCAAAAAGTGAGATTTTGCACTACTGTGGTATCTCCAGAACCAAATCAACCAATGA